GTTTTGTAATAATTTAATCCTTTATATTTATATTCTATATCTATTCTTATTATATCCTATACATATCCTTAACATTTACATTTTTTCATATGTAAAGATATTTGCCTATTGCTCTCTTGTGTGTATTAAGCAGTGTGTAAACGAGGTGCAACTCTGCGCTGGAGTTTAGAGCAGGTTTGTTTAGGTCTAATGAAAAATCTATTATAGCTTCTCAAAATAGCGACGCGCCAGCGGTCCGCCTCAGAACGCCTCCCTTTTTAGACCAGAACGCCTATGGGCGCACAAATGAGCGCTAATGCATTTGCTATTTAAACAGCGTAGCGCAACGCCTCAAAACCACTCTTGCGCCAAGCTGAAACTACCAAAAGACTACAGCGCCACGCCTTGTGCCACATTGCGCCGGGTGTATGATAGGGCCCAGTGTGTTTAATGATGGTGGAATGTTTGAATTCTGCACATCATATAAGAGAAAAAAAAAAACCTCTGCATTTCTCGGTAACTCAGATGCACTCGGTAGGTCAGAAAGCCGTGAGTCTGTAGACAATCCTGTCAAAATGCCGTGAAAATTGAACACGACGGTCAGCATTAAGTTGATTGCAGTGTTCACATGTTTACACTCAGAGAGCAGCATTTACAGCGGATCTTTCAGTCCATAATATTGTAGTGATGTTAACGTAAACTAAGAAACTTAGAAATCATTTTGACTTAGATCTGTCTCAAAACACTGAAAGAGTACTGCTTACGATACAAACTTCAACTTTGCCATCTGAATGAACAAAGGGCTCTGATCGCACACACTTACCAAATCTGTAGACAGTTGACACATAGTGGACCTGCGTCTTTTTTTAAAGGAGATGAGCCGCAAATCTGGATTTCACCATTTCCAGATGAGAAAAGCTCTCGGGTAAAAAAATGTATTTCTGTCGTGCGTCGCCTGCACTGATCCACACGTGAGTCCAGGGGTCCGTTCTTCGTACCTCGCTTAAATGATCTAAGATTATTTGGCAGATCCTGGATCTTTTAATCTTGATAACTGATCTCTCGCTAATTTGGTTCTTCAAACAAGTTCGCGAATCAGATTAGAATGTCTGGATGAACAGATCTGAGATCGCTGCGTGTGTTGTGAAGGACAGATCTATCGATCCTCCAAATCATGATCAGCAATGCAATGATTGGCTGACGGCACAGCAGCGTAATGACATCATCTGATTAATATTCAATTATCCATGTGAGCAAAATTACATCAAATTAGCAGTAAACGGCTTGTTAAATATGACACGCAGTAACTTCACATTTGTTGTGAGCTGCAGGCTTTACACTTTCATGTGTCAAGACAAGTGTATTCATCATGTATTTGAATGCAAATCAATGTATTTAGTTCTTCATTTAGAAAAGATTTTCTTTATTATAGTAGCCATTTTTTAATCGGTGTAAAGAATAACTGGTTGTTTACAAAAGCATTTTGATATTGGTAAAGATGTCTGCAACTTTTGTGAAGCATCATCACTGGCATATTAACTATCAAAACATGTTTATGACTGCATAAATGTATTATTGCTTTAAAAAAGTCACATATTGTGCATGTTTATTATACACAATTTGTACTAAAGCGATCTAAAAAGTTCATATAAATAAGTTTTCTCTGTGCACCACCAGGTGGCAGTCTTTGTATTTTCATTTTGAGGGTGCAGATTGCATACATTTTATTAATATGTATAACTTTATTTATTTTATTAATGACTATAACTTTTATATATATAGTTAAAAATATTTACTATTTTCCCAAGTGTATATAACTTTTACTGTAAGAAAATATCAGAATTGGGAACATACTTTCTGTATTATCTTTGCTTGAACTGAGCCAAAATAATCCTGTTTATATGATTTGAACCTCCTCCTGATCAGGTTTGACCTAGCAGATCTGTTGCCATGACAACAACTCTCGGATCAGCTTTGAAGAAGGAAACGATCCTGGATCGTGTCAAATCGTCAATATCCAAATCCAGCTAACTGAGTAATCCACGTACGAAGAACTGACCCCAGTTGCGCTCTCATAGAGAGAAAAGAAAACAAAACCTTCACTGCAGCAAATTGTAAAAGAAACACTGATGACCCGTATCTTCAAACATTTCTTATACTTTCCCTACAATTTTTGGCAACACAACGTGGCGTCTCTCTGCCGTCTGAACAGCTTCAGGTACAGTCTTCGAAGCTATCATGCTTATTAGTAAAGCTGCACCGCATACACAATAGAACGCTCTGATTGGTTTGAACCAAGTCTTACTCATGAATGAATGAAGCACACTCATAGACATAATACAGGACACCCAGGTACAGATGTCCAGTCTACACACTGGAATACAGGCTAAGATCTCATGGCCGTCACGCAGCTTCAAAAATTAGTTTCAAACCGGAAGTACGAATTTGCTCAAAATAACGCAAAAGCAACCAATGTTCGCTTTTAGTGAGATATATGTGTCTTAATAATGTTTTTAGCAGTGTGCAGGCCCGGATTGGCTAATCGGGAGGACTGTGAGAATTCCCGGTGGGCCGGTCCGTTTTTTGGCCGCGAGGGCCGGTGTCCCAAGCTCCAGAATCTGTTGCTCTCAGCAGTCACACTTTTTAAATGTATTTATTTATTTACTTGACCACAGTCTTTATATTGATTATCTTACCGCAGCTTATTTATACATAACCAGCCTGCAGGTTATTGCTGATATAACTCAGATGAGTCATTTCTTTATATACAACTGCTGTGGTCCAGTGGTTAGCACATTAAATTTCGACGCTGCCGACCGGGATTTGATCCTCGTCTGAGGATGTTTTTTTTTTCTTTTTTAATTTTTATTGTTAAGACATATAATACTGTTATGGTTGTTGAACATTTAAAGCTCTAAAGAAGCTGTTTTCTCAAAAAAGATGTGATATTATAATTAGAAACTGAATTGGAAATGATCTTATTTTAATATAGTCAGTTGTGCACTGAGGTGGGCCGGTCTGAGGCTTGAAACTCCAGGGCTGAAAAGGAGTCTCACTCCGGCCCTGGCAGTGTGGGACACATATACGACACATGTGTTTTGGTGTTTCGTGACCCTTTAACAGTTTAATCACTGTGTGAATGTCAGGAGGCAGACAACATCAATTATTCATATTCAGGTGTCTTTATTAGCAGGGTAAAAGCTGTAATGCTGAGCTGTAATACATAGTACTGGTAAAAATTAATTTCAGAGATACACATTACACACCATTCAAAATAAAACCATGGCCAGAGGCATTTAAATCACTGCCACTCTTTACAGATAAAAAAGAGAACACATTCATACGTGCCACAGCCATATCACTCCACAGCCCAAGACTGGTTACTCGCTGAAGCTAAGCAGGGCTGAGCCTGGTCACTACCTGGATGGGAGACCACATGGGAAAACAAGGTTGCTGTTGAGAGTGACATTAGTGAGGCCAGCAGGGGGCGCTCAACCTGTGCTCTGTGTGAGTCCTAATACCCCAGTAAAGTGAAGGGGACACAATACTGTCAGTGAATGCTGTCTTTTGAATGAGACATTAAAGGTCCTGATCCTATGGCACTTCTTATAAAGAGTTGGGCTGTAACCCCCTGTCCTGGTTAAATGCTTTCTATCGGCCCTTATTGATTATTACTCATCATGGCCTCCCAATCATCCCCATCCTCCACCTATAGCTGGTGTGTGGTGAAGAACTTGCACTTTTGTACTGTGGCTGCCATCGCATCATTCAAGTGGATGCTGCACACTAGTAGTGGTGTGGAGGGTTATAGGCTATAATTTTTTCCCCTAAAATTAAAGGGTATATACCCTGACCTGACGAGGGGATCAGAGCTCTGGTCTATAGGCCTAGCTTTAATTTTACGATTTTCATAATTTAACTGCTATTTTGAATGATAAAATATATATGGTTGAAGGTTGGAATGACGGGAGTGCTAGTAATTAATGACAGAAAGAATCTTCAGTTTTGTGCAAACTAATCCTTTATGAAAACTTGGGAAGTGGGCAGGGGGTAAGATCTCTCAGAAAATTCTTTCTGAGAGGGCAATGCCCACTTTTGCCCTGCCGGGCCTGTTTACATGTTTGACCTTGATACTTTTATAAAGAAGCCATGTTCAAGCAGACTGTAGTCTGATGATAAATGCAAAGATACTGTGCAAGCACTGCTACAAGAAAAGAGTTTTAAAAAGAATTAAAAGAGCAGCCTTTTATGTTACTTTCTTTATGACGCGAGGTGTCGGCCGGCTGTAAGTTTTGCTTGTTGACAAAACTGAAGTTGATGTAATATGATTATGATCTTTTGTCTAACTATGGCTATAGGAGCAGAAAGGATGGATAATGAGGCAGGGAGGTAAGACTTCATAACATTATTTCTTGGCCTTGAGTCAAGTCTTAAGAGATAATTCTATAAAACATGTATTTTTTTTTTGTCAAAATAATTTTTTTTCCAGTTACATTTAGGATAGAGTTTTTGTTATTTATTTATTTATTTATTTATTTATTTATTTATTTATTCATTCATTCATTCATTCATTCATTCATTCATTCATTCATTCATTTATTTATTTATTTATTTATTTATTTATCATTAATATTATTTTGTTTATGATAACTATACATATTTTTATAATTCCAATTTTATAATTCCGTTTTGTCTATATTTTACCCAAAGTTAGGGTAAAACAAACGTTTTTTTTAGAATGTACATTTTTAATGGTCCTTTTCTGTATTAACTAGATGTATTAGACTAGAACCATACTAGAACTTCACTTCTAAAAACCAGCTATTTATAAGCTTGAGGGTGGAGGGAGGAGTATATGGGGTGGTTTGCCCAGGGTGCCATTCAAGTTAGCACTGCCACTGCTTAGCAGGTGTCAATTCTAATTTTTGGAGGGCCGCAGCTCTGCACAGTTTAGTTCCAACCCTGCTCCAACACACTTACCTGTAGGTTTCAAACCAGCCTGAATGACTCAATTAGTTTGATCAGGTGTGTTTAATTAGGGTTGGAAATAAACTATGCAGAGCTGCGGCCCTCCAGGAATTTAACACATGTGACTTACAGGAACACCGAAGACACAATAACAGAAGCTGGAAAAATTGAACATTTAAAAACTTAAGCAATTCAATGACTTATTAATGATGATCCCTGTCAATCACCCGTGGCTCCGCCCACACAGCTCAGGATTGGTTCTTTCTGGCTCCGCCTCTCACTGCAGCCTTTTCCTTGTTGATCTGAACAAACAATAAGATGAAGAAAGACTGAAGGTCAACCACATTAAACTCTTTGACGAGGCTCATCCAATAATCAAACTGCTGCTGAGAGGGTTTATGGCTGATATTGTCTCTTACTGGTGGATTGTGATGTTCAGAAGAGCTCTGAGGATCAAGAGTGGAGCAGGAGTTTTCAGCAGGTCTGTGGTGAACGGTCTGTGTGAAAGACAGCGAGAGATCATCAATCATCTGATCATCAGTGAGCATTGTCTGACTTTGACTTTCACTTACTGTGAGTGTGTCGTACAGGTCAGAGGTCGCAGACTGGAGATCCAGAGCTGCATATGTGTCTGAGATCTGGACAGATAGAAGGACATTGTGACTCTATTTTATTGATCTAAACTAGGAGCTCTTAATTATAAGGACAGGAAAAACAGTCAGTGCACACAGAAGGTCTAAAAGATGGGAGCGAGGAAACAGATGTTCTGGTGTGCAATGTTAAAGACCATAAACAAAATAAGCTGGATTCACCAAAACCCTCTGAAGTAAAGTTGGTGTGGTATGAGGTATTTTTTATTCATGTAGACAATAATAATCTTTTGCATTTGAATCTTTTTATTTTTCATATTTAAAGATGTTTGTGTGCTGCTGTGCATCCCTGTGTGTGTAATAAGCAACATGTATGCACATTTTGGATCTGCATATCACTAACGTGCCCTAAAAATAAAAGAAAAACTGTGCCTTTAACTTTTAAAGCAGCTTTAGTTGGTGAATGGTGCAGTGTATTTCGTTTGCCTCAAATTAGCTTAAATGTGCCTTAACACACCCACTGTTCAAACCTGTATGCCCATGGGCAAACAAATGGCTTGCAATTTAAACAAAGCAGCAAACAACATGAAACTGATACCTGAACCAGGCTGAGCAACATTAATGTTTAGAGGAACTCAAACGTAAATCAGTAATACTGTACACTCTTGATATTTCTGTACAATCATCACAGCTGTAGGAAACATGCAGGAAAACAGTAAATAATGAAGATCATCTCACCGCAGACTCTTTCACTGCAGATCTTCTGCTCTTCCTTTTAGAAAGACTGTCAGAAGAAAGATGAAATGATGTTTTTTATATATATAAATGAAAGATCAAGTGCAGTACAGTGTATTCATGTTCTCACCAGAAGTAAAGCACAGCACTGATTGTTGCTGACGCTCCACCGACAAAAACACCAACAGCAAATCCAACAGCAAATGCAGAAGACCAGGAGACTAATCTTGCACCTGAAACACAAGACACATCAGCTTTCCATCACAGTGAGATACATCACGTTAACAATAAATAAATAAACAAACAAAAACACAAGCAGGCATTTTTAAAACAGAATGATCATAAACTCACACTGGACATCTAAAGTCACAGGATCAGAGTATTTCACTCCATTTTCATTTGTGGCTCTACACTTGTATTCTCCACTGTCATCAGAGCTGATCTTGGAGATGCTGAAGATTCTTCCAGATCCTACAGATGTTTCTCCTTTATACCAGTTGATTTCTGCAGGAGGGTTTGAGTCACTGCTGCAGCTCAGAGTCACTGAATCTCCAGACATTATTACAGCAGATCCACTGATGGAGATCACAGGAGTATCTGGACCATCTGCAGGAGAAACATGTAGAAACAAAGACTGAAAATGAATATCAAGATCAGTTTTAATCTCTACTTGTTCCAGCTTACTATAAGGGCTGTCTATTGTTTATTATATTGCTTTTTTCTTTTATAAAAATTAGCAATATTTACTTACTGATCGTATGATCAATTTTAAGAAGGATTTTTAGCAGATTTGTGAAGCTAACAATTGTAATAAGTATTTGCAATGTGTTTAAGTGTATATTTGTATCTTTAATGTAATTTTAATTATTGATAAATGATAGATAAATGTTTAGTTTTGCATGAACTATCACATAATGATGATGCCATAAATGTGTTATTTTCATCCCTACATTTAAATTGACACAATTGAGCAAATGTCAATCAATAGTATTCATGACACCACATTTTTCACACCAATTGGTAGCACTAATGCCAAAGTATTTTAATTTGTATGGATCGATTACTTTCATCATTATTGTAAGTCTGAATGCTTTTAAAAGGTAAATACTAAAAGGTAAAATAGTAGAAAACTTACATGTGACATTGAGATAAACAGCAGGAGAGATGTACATTTGTCCCTGCACACCACAGCTATAGTGTCCTGCGTCTCTTCTACTGACTGACCTGATGTTGAGTTCATCTCCAATATTAGTCAATGTGTGTGAGTTTCTGTACCAGATGAATGTTGGTGTGTCAGTCAGTTTACAGCTGCTTCTACATGTCAGACGGACTGAATCTCCCTCTGTCACTCTCTCAGGAGACTCCAGCTGAAGATCTGAACACAACACACACATTATATCTAGTGCTGCTCTCATACACTGATTATTATTCTACATAATGACCACAAGAAGAGAGAAACCTCAGGAGAGTCACCTGTGACAGAGAGACGCACTCCTGTATAACCAATCCATTTCCAATCTTTATCAGTAGTGAATCTGAAATAATATATGTGTTCATCTCTCTCTGTCACATGACTCAGTCTGATGGTGCAGTTGTGCTGTTTATCTCCCAGATACTGAAGCCTCTGACTGTATTCAGGGTCCTCAGACAGATCTGGAAACTCTTCATGCACTTTTCTTTCTATTGTTTTGGTCCAGAACACTTTCCTGATCTGATGTTCAGTAGGGTATGTAAAAGTGCAGCTGATTGTCACTGTTGATTTCTTCAGTGCACAGATGTGTGAAGATTTGTAAAACACATTTTGATCAGCACCAGAAATCCCTAAAACACAGAAATCATAGTTTTGCCAAGTGTATTTACCCACTCTTTTATTAGCTTCCTAATAGCTGTTTAGATGAATAAATCAAAAGGAGGTACAGGGACCAGGCTAAGGACGTGTTCCCTTTTCCCATGATAACCTTGTCAAAGTTGTGGTCACTCAATAATAAAATGGATAAACTGATGCCAGGGTAAAATTTGAAAGTGACTTTAAAATATGTAACCTAAAGCTTAGTTCACACTAGAGGATTTTAAGCCTGATTTGAGCCCGATTTGGAAGTTAACGAGCTCGCTGACAGATCGGGCTGTGATCGGGAAGAAATCTGCGGGTGCTCGGCGCTCTTTATGTGTGAACTACTGAACAACACATCAACGAGGCTCACTGACGCGTCGCCGACACCTCGCAGACGGAAATCCAACATTTAGCATGCTGAATATTCCAGAGCAGTCGGCCGACTCAACCCCACGTGTGGTCGGATGTAGTGACGATCTGCAGCCAATGAGAGAGCATATTAGCATGAGCTGAGTGCTCAGGAGCTCAACAGAAACATCTGTGATTGGTCAGAATGGGCATCGGTGCACTCGCTTCATTCTGCGCTAGCACAGACATGAGAGTAGGCTATATTAACAGTGGAACTAGAATTCTGTAACTATTAGAATTACCATACTGCTCATTCTGACCGTTCTCATATGAAACGCCATACTGTCACAACATATTTACATTCAGAGCTATTATTGAGATAATAAAATTAAGCTTTGAATGTCTGGCATCATATTTAATGACACCATTACCCTAAAAAATCATCTTTTTTGGTAATACAGCCTATAAATATGTAGTTAAGATGCTAGAACACGCAAAGGTCTTGGCTTTCATTTTCACTTTTAAACAGGAGCTATTTCACAGCACAGAATATGCTGTTTTGAAAGATATATCTGAAGTAAATTGATGTTTTTGCCATCAGAAAGTTTTGTTTACGTTAGCAGGAAGTTGCTAGGCAAAAAAATGCACACATATTTAAAGTCACAGCGAAAAGTATCAGACATGCGATTGTGATAGGGTGCAGGAGGTAAGTAATGGTGATTGACGTCTGCAATGACCAATCAGTGCAGAGTACGCCCCTATTTATTGCTGAGGGCTGTAGCCTGTCAAGAGGCATGTTTTGAATTCCACTTCCTGTGTGGGTGTGCGGGCAATGGCTTCCAGGTAAGGTGCAGTTAGCTTAGCGGTTTGCTAATTGTTTAGTGGCTGGGGGTTAATGCTGACCTTGTGTTGCATTCCAGCCTGCCTGGTGTGTGTGTTTCCATCAGTCTTTGGACTGATTGGACGACTGACTGCCCCACTGTCAGTTTGTGTGGTTGAAGACTTTCTATATCAATTGGCGAATTTGGTATAAAAGCACCTCATTCATGGTTGGTAAGTGTTTGCATTTGATTTTAAGTAGGAGTGGTATCCAATGCAATTATTTGTAACCGTGTGTGGATGTGTGTTTGTTTGTTATAGGATTCTCCTTCTCGTTCGGATCGTAAATGTGCCCACATTGTCACCATGTTAAAGAACATTCATGCTACAATCCAGAAGCATTTAATGCTATCTTCTGGGTGATGCTACTGTCTGAGTACTGACCGAGCTCTGTCTTTTTATTGTATTTTAAAGAAAATAGAAGGTTCAGTTGCGTTGGCAGACCTGAGGCCATCAACGTTTAACAAACTGTCATCAATGTGATTAAATTGTCTATGTTCAATTGCACCAAAGTGTATTCTGTTAATCTTTCTTTCCTGTGACCCGTCTAGTTCATTAATCCATTTCAAGAGGCCTTCATTATTACTCTGTATTGAGTTCTGAGTGACGGATTTGTGTCTGTGCTTTCTGTAAAATTAACCTGTGTGAGAAGCCATTTGCCCATTAGTGGCTCTTGGTATTTCTTTCTGTTTCTTGCAGGAGCTGGGGGCCCACGGGTGAAGCAATCTATTTAGTGGTGGTGCTGCTGTGCCAGTGTGTGCTGTGGGACACTTCTGATGCACCAGGGTGTGTGGCTGGAGTGTGCTGTGGTGTAAAAGTGTATGGTGTATTTCACGGGTGATAACTCCTGTGGGTAGCTCCAGTCCTGTGAGTGAATGGCTGTATTTGGGAACATTGATTTGGAGAGTATGATATTGAGTATTTTCTGTGTGCGGGTTGCATGATAACCACTTTCAGTGCCTTTTGTGAGGTAAGCCCTCCAGAACTGACTGGTCATCTGGGGCCTCATGTACGAAGACTTGCGAAACATTGCGTACGCACAAAGCTGTAAATGTGCGTACGCACACCTCGGAGGTAGACCGGAGAAAAGCGATGTTATTTGCAAGTTTGTCCTCCGGAATTAACAACAAAATAAAAAAATAGAACGGGGAGAGTTTAGCTGATGCGGTTAACACAGTTGGGTCTGAACATCGCACTAAGTTAATAAAAAATAAATAAATAGTGTGATTTATAAGTGTAAAATGTTGTAGTACCCTCAACAGTCTCAGTGGTGCAGCTCGTAAAATGCATGTCAACATCCTTTGACACGTTCGAGCATGAACTCGGTTCGAATCCAGCGTCTGATGAACTCTTTCTTCTTTTTTCCCCCGCTACATATCAGATTTTGCCCACTATTTATCACGAGAAAGACCAGTAGGAATCATTAATAAGTTTGTGCATCATATTTTATTTGCACATTTATTGAATGAAAATGTTTCTGATACACGCATGCAAATTCATCTTCAGATAGTGTCTTTATAGCAATGTGCGTGCAGTAGATCGCTCAGATTACATTGGGAAAACAGGCGACTGCTGCAAATTGTGCTTTAATGTTTGGCTGGTCAACTACGTGGTATGGAAATCTTACATACCTGCTAGATGAACCCGTCTCATACAGCTGCCATTGCAATGCTCAAAGACACTTTGTAGAGAGCAATTTAACACAACTGCCTCTAGGAGTCGCCAATGGAAATAAAACAGACACGCACAAAAAATGTGCGTACGCCAGCCATGAAGCTGCCGTAAAGCTGCGCACATTCCCACGTTCAGTTCATCATTAGTAAATCCAAATGTCAGCGATTCTGAGCGTGAAACCTGGCGTACGCAAAGTTTTTGTGCGTACGCAGCGTTGATACATGAGGCCCCAGGACTTATTTTAGTGTTAGCCTTTTTAAAGAATTGTGAATAAACTTTTTTTGTCTCCTGTCTGCTCCTTAAACTAAAAAGAGACGGATCTGTGTGACCTTTTAATATTTTTCCTGGATTTGAATCCCAGGTGGCGTAGTCGGTATAAAAATTTAATTGAGAGAAGGCGTTGGGTTT